AATATCATTGTGTTCGATACTAATTTCAGTAGCACATTTTCTCATCCCTTTTTGCTGATGAATCACGTCATTAGCTATAGGAATATTTTTAAGAATGCCATTCCAAATTTCTTCTTTTGATCCTATTGGAGATATGATACCGAAGCCACTTATTCCTGTAGTATTCATAATTCATTAGTTTAGATCAGCTTATTTTTTTCAAGATCAGGGCATTGTTAGAGCCGCCAAAGCCGGTCGCTATTTTCAACCCGAAATCGGTATTTATAACTGCGGAAACATTTGGAATACAATCAAGATCACATTCTTCATCAAATTCTTTATAGTTGATTGTTGGCGGAGCAATGCCCTCTGACAATGATTTTATTAATGATATAACTTCTAATGCGGTTGATCCGCCAAAAGCGTGACCTATCATACTTTTAATACTGCTTAGCTTCAAATTATAAGCCTGACTGCCAAATGCATTTTTGATAGCTTTCGTTTCTGCTGCATCATTTTTGGGTGTCCCTGTTCCATGACAACTGATATATCCGATGTCCTGGGGAGAAATATTACTGCTTTTTATGGCCCAATCTATCACTTCGCCATATCGGATAGCAGCCGGTTCCGGAGCAACAATATGAAACCCATCCGTATTTGCAACATAATTCACTATTTCACCCAAAATTGTTACTCCTCTGTTTAAAGCATGTTCTAATGATTCCAAAACAACCACTCCGGCACCTTCGCCGAAAACCATTCCGGATCTGTTTTTAGAATAAGGCTGACATGCTTCCGAAGGATCGCCCTTCCATTTAGAAGTTGCTTTGATGAGATGGAAGCTCAAAAAATTAATTTTTGAAATTGGAGCGTCTCCACCTCCTGCCACTATAATATCCGCTATACCGTCCTGTATATCCCGATACGCATTACCAATACTTTCGCCTCCGGCGCTGCAACTGATACAGAAGGATTTTACCGGTCCATTGGCTTTTATATATTTGGCAATTACTAAAGGCCATGCTCCCGGAGTACATTGATAGAGATTATTTAAGCTAAAATGTTCTCCTGCAAAATGTCTTTTAGCTTGCTCATAAGCAGAAACATGCCCGGCGGTAGTAGTGCCAATATAAACGCCAAGTCTATTTGCATCGATATTACTTTCAAAAATATTGGCTTCCTCACAAGCCTCTTTTACAGCAACAAGTACAAACTGCATTGCCCGATCTACGTAATCTACATATTCATTTGCTTTATCAAAAGCGTTATTAAACTCAAAATCATTGCATTGGGCACCAAATGGGGTATAAATT